AAAAATGATATTTGAAAAATGAAATTCCTAGTATCTACCGTTTAAAAATTAGGGCCAAAGTAAGAAATTTGATTTTTAACGTAAAAAAAATTGTAAAAAGTAGGTAAAACTCCTAGGACAAAGTAAAAGGTTCAAGGTTCTTGATAACAAATTAAATGTCTTGTCTCAGGGATTAAATATTTGGAGTATGATGCCCTAGTCTTTATCCGCCAAAAGTTATTGTCAAGGTTGTATTTTAAAAGTGGGTAAAGTCAAAGGATCAAAGCTTTTGGTATCCAATGAAGCGTCCTTTCGCATGAATTACATATATGACGAATGAAAGCCCAAGCCCTTACTCTTCAAAAGTTTTGGCCAAGGAAATGTCTTTTCATGAGTATGGAATTCTCCAATGTCAAGGTCAAATGGTCAAATTTGTTGGTACTCAATTAAAGGTCTTTCAACAAAAGATATCTACTTGGAATATAAAAGCCCTGGTATCTACTGATCAAAAGATATGGCAAAAGCAAAAGTTTGAAATTTTTGTGTAAATGTGGGTCAAACTCCAAGGTCAATGTCAAAAGATGAAATTCTGTGGTACCAAAAAATACCTTGTCACAAGGAATACACAGGTAAAATATAAATGTCATAGCTCCACTAAATCAAAAGTTATGGGCAAGGTTAAAGTTTTTGCTAGACAGACGAACACGACAAAAACTGTATACCCCAGAAATTCGTTTTTGGGGACCAAAAAAAATGACTTTATACTATACTTCAATAAAATCTCTAATCTGGTCTTGTTTTTATGCACCTAGATCGAAAGATCCGAGGAGTATATTGTTTTTATCCTGTCTGTTTGTCTGTTTGTTTGTTTTTCTGCAAACTTTAACCTTCGTCATAACTTTTTAACCATGAATAAAAGAGATTTCATATTTGGTACGCATATTCCACTCATTAAACTCTTTCAATAACACCTAGATCAGTGACCTTGTGACTTTGACTGTGACCTATATGCTAAGAATAGTTTTTTCTGCAAACTTTGACCTTCGCCATAACTTTTGAACCATGAAAGATAGAGACTACATATTTGGTATGCATACACCACTGATAAAGCTCTATTAAAGGACACCATGGTCAATGACCTTGACTGTGACCTATACGCAAAATATAGTTTTTTGTTGGCAAACTTTTACCTTCGCCATAAGTTTTGAACGATGAAAGATAGACATTTAATATTTGGAATGTATACTCTATTAATTTTGCCATTTCATTGGATACCAAGTTCAATGGCTTTGTGACCTTGACTGTGTCCTTTATGCTAAAAAAGCTTTTTTGAACCTTCACCATAACTTTTGAAACATGAAAGATAGAACCTTGATATTTGGTATTCATACTTCACTAATCAAGTTCCTTCAAATGACAATGACCAATGACCTTGTCACCTTGACTGTGACTTATATACTTAAATATGGTTTTAACTTTGTTGCCGCCGGGCGCATAGTGTTTCACAAAAACATCTTGTTTTTCTTTCAATCTCTTGCCGATCAGCTGTGTCACATTTAATCACCCGAGAGTTTATTAAACACTAGAATGACGTCATAATCAAGATTTGAATTGCTGCGAAGTTAAGGCAGCATAGATCTCAGGCCTTATATCTTGCACTCCGTTAAACCGCCTATCCCCCTTTAGGGGTGCACCAGGATGACAGTTCTGGCTGACAAGGGCCCTAAAGTGCACTCAGCTGACCCCTAGCTAGGCGCCTACTGCTACTAAAATACAACAAAGTATCTGCCTTTTGGTAAAAAGCTTGGAAAGTTTGCAAGTGCATTTGAACAGCCAACGAGTGCCAATATTCACCAAAATTAGTTCAATAACTCCTTTATTAAACAGCTAAAAAATTCCACATTATTTATAATAATCATCCCAACTAAAAAAAAGGTCAAATTAATGATTTTTTGTTTCGGTATTCAAATTAACAGAATTCAGAATGTTTCGGGCATACTCGTATACGTAATACAAACTCAGCAGTTAATAAAACGTCAAAATATTGAAAGTTAAAATTTTCTCTATTTTTGGTAGTATTTTATTAGAGACTATTTATTAGTTATACAATAATATTATATGTTTATGAGTCATTTTTATTTTTTAGCACTAGCTTCAGCTAATTTCGACTTTTCCCCGCCGTGATTAGGACAAGATGATGCAAAAAGGCATTCATTTGATTTGTAATAGATAATTAAAATTTTCATAACTGAACTAGTAATATACTGTCATAGATTTTTATTGAACGGTCAAATGAGAGAGAGAGAGAGAGAGAGAGAGAGAGAGAGAGAGAGAGAGAGAGAGAGAGAGAGAGAAATACCACCGTTGGCATATGCATATTTAAACTACTATTGTTTAATGACTTTCTTAATAGTTGTTTTGAGACTGAAATTCTTATGTTACAATAAAAATGAACTTATTTTGAAATGTTAATTGAAATATACTGAAAAGAAGATTGGAGGATAAGGGGATGGAATTGCCTATGGTGCGAAAAATATGAAGTGAAAAATCATTATCTCAATTATATTCAAATTTTTTTTCATATTTCATCTAATATTAAAGTATACATCATGTAAAATATAAAATTTTACAAAAATCTCACAAAGACTGAAAATATTTGCCTATGAAAAAGCATACTCACACTAAAAAAACAAACACGATCATTTTCTCATATTTGAACACAGTTTGATATGAGTAGGACTTTGCTCCAATTTTTTGAAAGATAATCCTGAAAGTTTACAGGAAAATATACACTTTTTTGATTACAAAAACATGGAGCGAAAATTCGCATCTTCCGAAAAATTTTTCAAGTCCATTAAGTCAAGAGTCATATCACAAAAATGATTAAAATTCTCAAATCATCATGACCCATTTAGCATATCGGTTAGCGCGTTAGTCATAAAGCTGTATGATACGTAGGATTCTTATTGATAGGGTTCGAATCCCATGAATATCATCTTATATTCTTATCAAAGAAATTTTTTTAATAGATTTTTTTCTCTCAGAAAAGGTTTTTTTCTCATAATTTTATAAATTTTAATAATGAGAAGTTTTATATTGAAATACTCAATTCACATATTGGAGATGATTATAGGCATTCTTCCCACATTGTTCCTCCATCTTCTTTTAAGGCGCATGGGTGCTCTTAATCATATCGAATGTAGAAAAAATATTAAGTAACGGTGAAGGAATGAATTTCTCTGTCTAATTATAGACTTTACTTTAAATATAATGGTTAAGATTAAAAAAAAAATGATTTAAAAAAGACGCATTAACAACTGATTTGATTGGCCCTTAAGATATTTAATTAACTAAATATCTGCAGTACTGAATATACTGTATACAGGAATATTTTCGCCCTCGTTTTATTTTCGCCCCTTTCGCCTTACTCTCATTTGGTCGAATTTAAAAGGGGGCGAACTAAAAGACTACAGTACAATTTTTTTAAACAAAACTATGAAAGGGCGAATTTAAAACGGGGCAAAATTGTTTGTTAGTGTGAAAGGGTGAAAATAACTGTATACAGTAATTCTAACAACTACATGTAGTTTTGAAATGTATTCGTGAATCACTTAAAATATCTGTATGAAATGAATATTTTTTGTTATTTTGCTGCAATTGGTAAATTAATGGACCTCAACGTTTTGTGAACGGTAAACGCGAGAGTACGGTGAACGCAAAACGGAGAGCGAAACGTGAAAACACGCTTAACGAACATTGAACAAATGGTGAACAAATGAAAAGATCGGAAAGCAGAACGTTTCAGGGACTCTAGGGTACTAAAATTGATTTATAGCAAAGTCAAAATATTAAAATTAAAATGACTTCCGGTGTTGCTGCTTACGAGGCATCTGAGAAGGAGTGAAGCGGAAAGGAACGCATGCCAATGTTTTTTTCTCCAGGATTGATGGACGAATTACATATAAATTATTGCATGTGAGTTCTCTGGGAGGTTTGGATGTTCAAATTCGTCAGTTGAATCAGCAACTTCATAGATGAGTTTACAAATTATATATCTTTCAAAAACATCGAATATATTTAGATTTCAACTCTGGCAGATCTTTTCAAACCATTTTCTTATTGGATAAACATTCTAATTCAACATATCAAGCGTAGTAAAGAACCCTCGAGTTTGGTTTTAGACAAATATTAGAGACAATGATGACTAGAAAGCTTTTATCGTTGAAATAATGCAAATCCATCGTTTTGGCAAAATTCAGTTCACAAGCAATGTTCACTGTGAATAGATTTGGATTAAATATCGTAGATACATGTAGATGTTAACAATATTCAATCACTTACTTGCGATCTTATGGCAATGAATGTTTACCGTACGAGCTCATACTGAATTTTTTCAAGCATTGTTTATTTTTTACATTCATTATCAATCAAAGAATCAGGCTATGAGGCAGGATTTGAAGTTTGTTTTTTTTAGATGGCGGAAGAAAGGATATCTAGAGAGTTAAATACTAATGAGTATACTGTGGTTTCAGCAATATTCGTTGAGCACCAGTTTTCGTGGATTTCGTTGTTGAGTAGATCCACGAATTCAATGTTCATTGAATTACGAAATATGACATCCATTTGTATAGGCAATGCTTTTGTACACGAAATTACGTATCCTCGAAAACGTCTGTTTTACAAAATCCACGAAATTTGATGCCAACGAAAATTGATGAAACCACAGTACCTTAAGTTTGTTTTGTACCACAGACTGTTCCGTCTACATAGGGCTCACGGCTACAATAACTGTTAAAAAGCGGATAGTTGCTCTTACTAAGTACTAAATCCAACCTTTGGAATTTCCAGAGATCTGTGTATATGCCATGTTAACAGATTTATTTTCTTCAATGTTTTTATGAGATCATCACAATTTGTTATATTAACCCATTTTCATTCCTCAACGTTTAAAGAAAACATGGTTTGTTTACATGTTGTTAATAGATATCAGAACATATTTAAATTTTCATTCAATTACTTACCATCTTCAACCAACGAAGTTGATTCTGTGGAAGGACCACCTAAAGAATTATAATTGTAAGAAGTAACATCATGTTTACATGTAAAAGAAATATGACAAAATCATATCTTAAAAAGATATAAAACGCACAATTGTTTTTATCTTTAAAATCTAAGTCGGAGGACTTATTTACTTATTTTTTATCTTTATCAAACAATATTCACAAACATATCTTTAAAACAATTGAATCAAATGTACAGCTGTTCATATTTTATTATTTGTATTTCACATTCTCTCATATAATGTTATCGAATTCGTGTATGAAGTATTGAAAAAAATTAGTAGATAGAAATAATACAATGCTAACTGAACACAGCAAAAACATACATTTTCTATGCAGGATTGGAATAATATACAATTCATGACTTAATTACTGTAACATACCATAATGCAATAAATTTTCCAAATGGTGATTAAAGAGAATGTTTGATAAAGGGTCTTACACATAAAATGTGCTTCCTTTGATGAGTTACATTCTTTCTCATGCAGTTCCGATTTAACAGTTTGATCGAGTTTGGATAGTGCTTCCTTGATTGCGTTTAATTCCTTATCAAGCATTTCTGTTTTATTAGCATTATCAAGTTTGGACAGCGTTTCCTTGACTGAGTTTAGTTCTTTCTCAAGCATTTCTGATTTATTAGCATTATCAAGCTTGGATAGCCTTTCCATGACTGAGTTTAGTTCTTTCTCAAGCATTTCTGTTTTATTTGCATTATCAAGTTTGGACAGCATTTCCTTGACTAAGATTAGTTCTTTCTCAAGCATTTCTGTTTTATTAGCATTATCAAGTTTGGACAGCGTTTCCTTGATTGAGTTTATTTCTTTCTCAAGCATTTCTGTTTTATTAGCATTTTCAAGCTTGGACAGCGTTTCCTTGACTGACTTTAGTTCTTTCTCAAGCATTTCTGTTTTATTAGCATTATCAAGTTTGGACAGCGTTTCCTTGACTAAGATTAGTTCTTTCTCAAGCATTTCTGTTTTATTGGCGTTATCAAGCTTGGACAGTGTTTTCTTGATTGAGTCTAGTTCTACCTCAAGCATTTCTGTTTTATTAGCGTTATCAAGTTTGGACAGCGTTTCCTTGATTGAGTTTAGTTCTACCTCAAGCATTTCTGTTTTATAAGCATTATCAAGCTTGGACAGTGTTTCTTTAATTGAGTTTAGTTCTTTCTCAAGCATTTCTGTTTTATTAGCATTATCAAGTTTGGACAGTGTTTCCTTGACAGAGTTTAGTTCTACCTCAAGCATTTCTGTTTTATTAGCATTATCAAGCTTGGGCATTGTTTCCTTGATTGAGTTTAGTTCTTTCTCAAGCATTTCTGTTTTATTAGCATTATCAAGCTTGAACAGCGTTGTCTTGATTGAGTTTAGTTCTTTCTCAAGCATTTCTGTTTTATTAACGTTATCAAGGTTCAACAGCGTTTCCTTGATTGAGTTTAGTTCTACCTCAAGCATTTCTGTTTTATTAGCATTATCAAGCTTGAACAGCGTTTCCTTGATTGAGTTTAGTTCTACCTCAAGCATTTCTGTTTTATTAGCATTATTAAGCTTGAACAGTGTTTTCTTGATTGAGTTTAGTTCTTTCTCAAGCATTTCTGTTTTATTAACGTTATCAAGCTTGAACAGCGTTTCCTTGATTGAGTTTAGTTCTTTCTCAAGCATTTCTGTTTTATTAACATTTTCAAGTTTGGACAGCGTTTCCTTGGTTGAGTTAAGTTCTACCTCAAGCATTTCTGTTTTATAAGCATTATCAAGCTTGAACAGTGTTTCCTTAATTGACTTTAGTTCTTTCTCAAGCATTTCCATTTTAGTAGCTTGAATTTTTACAAATTGCTGCAGAACTGTTGTTTGAGCTTTGATTTCATCTGGTCCAGAACACGTGGCCGAGTCGTAATCAAGTCGTTGGCTCGTGCAGAAATTTATCCATTGCATTGCGAATAAAATAGTAACAAATACAAAATTCCGTTCTTTTGCCATCCTGCTCTTTTTCCAATACATATGAAATTGAAATGTAAAAATTAATATTAGGTTATATATAGGGATGTCAAAATTGTCAATAATTGATATTCGAATATTCGATAGGAGTATTCGAATATATTCGAATATTCGATAAAATAAATACATCTTGCATTAATACATATATATCTTCACTCTCCTGTCAAACAGTATAGGTTTTAAGCCGTTATTTTGGAATAAAAACTCATGAAGAGTTCGAAAAATGCACTAGAACTATGTATATTTTTTTCATTCTTGAAAAGTATACATCCAAAATGTAATTGATTTTTTTTTTGTAAAAATTCGAAAGATTCTTTAGCATATTTCAGATTAATTTATCGTCTTACTAAAGTCTACTGATAACTCCTACCAAGCAGAACAATTATCTAACGGTGAAATATTAAAAGCAATTATTTTTTGTTAATTATAATTTCCTGATAATGATTTTTAATGATATTTTGATAAACAAGAAGTCCGTGTGTTTACTGTAAAACTGGGTCCTTACGACAATACAATCTGATTTTTAGTACTGGACACTATTATACCACTAATTAACGACGTTCGATCCTGATATTTAAAGTCTTAAACTTTTTTGGCCAAGTAAATTTTTAGTTTTACACACATAGCTTAATTAGAATTCAAATAAAAAAACAAGGGTCAATATGCTTCTTTTGGCGCTACAGTACATTTAATATGACCTTTTTGCACTGAAATTTGTGTCTTATTAAAAATTACATCTTCGACGTTTTCCCTTCAATATTTTTATCCAATAAATGCATGAAACAAAATGTTCTCTAAGTCTGTTAAAAAAATACACTTTAAAATTGTGATGAAGAAAACGTTTCAAATTGCTTCGCATAATCATTTTTTGACCTTTCTGCACTAATAAATGTGACTTTTGTTGGCATTGAAAATTTAACATGCATTCTCTGTAAGCACCAAAAAATTTAATATTGGGCTTGGAAACGACATATCTCCGATTTTGATGAAATTTGCACCAGAGGTGCGCCTTGGTACAAAACCAGCAAATATGGTGTTAAAAGTTTCCCACGTGCACCCGGTTGCCATGGAGACGGATCCATTGAATTTGGCCATTTTCGGCCATTTTTGATCAAACAAAAACATGATAATTGAGGAAATATGAATGCATTTTTATTTTTATGTAGTGAACTCAAAAATAAATCTTTGTAGCATAAGGAAACATCAACTGTTAAAGAATATAGGGCATATAACCAGTTATTCCAGAATTGACCCCACTCTTAGAAAACGGTTTTGCTAAATAGAATAGTTTCTCAAAATGTGAAAAATGGAAAATTTGGCATTTTTTGAGAAATTTAAGGTTAAATAAAAAAAATTGTCTACGTAAATTTTTCAAATGATATGCGTGTCGTCAAACGTCAGTATTAGTAGTGTCCCCTCATGAAAAATTTGGAGTGGGATCTCAATGCTATTTTTAGTAACATGTATCTAAAAATAGACATATTTCAGAAAAATCCAAAAAATGAAATTTGGGCAGAGATTTAGATGCCATTGCTAGGTAATTATGAAATATACTGTAAAAGTCAATATGCTAATGTCAGAGACTGGACACCAATATCTACCATGCATATTATTTTCAGGGATTTCCGTCATCTATTTATAGCTTCAAATGCCTAAATATAGACATGTCTCGTAAAATGCTGAAAAATGTCAATTTTCCCATCATTTTGAAGCTCCACTGAATCATAAATAATAAATATATGGATCTCTCCAATATTTCTTCAATAAGAAGAAGGAATAGTATAATATCTCACAAATTATTGAGTACAGGCTCTCATCTCTATAGATGGTACAAATGTCTAAAAATAGACACATATGAAGTTAACTGTTTAATGTTGATTTTCCACTAATTCTCAAACTAGAGATGGGAAATTTACCGACTTACTCTCATTAACTGTAACTGATATTATGTGACTGACAAGAACAAAAGAACATTCAATGGAATGCAGCATGATAAGCAGAGGTTTCCATTTCTATTTATAGTAACACATGTTTAATAATAGACGTAATGCAAAATATCGGGAAAATGTCGTTTTTTGTACTTTTTTCTAAAATTTTGTATGAATAATTGCTGACTATCTGTTTTTTACTGCTATTGGCATATGGTGACCAACAAGTAAAAGAAAGCCTCATATCAAATACAAAATGAGAAGCACTGGTTTCCATTTCTATTTATCGTAACACATGTTTAAAAATAAACGTACTGCAAAATATCGGGAAAATGTAGTTTTTGTACACATGTACTTTTTTCTCACATTTTTGATGAACAATTGTACACTATATGTTTTTAACTGCTATTGGCATATGGTGATCAACAAGTAAAAAAAAGCATATATGAAATACAGAATGAGAAGCATAAGTTTCCATTTCTATTTATAGTAAAACATGTTTAGAAATAGACGTACTGCAAAATATCGGGAAAATGTCGTTTGATGTACTTTTTTCTAAATTTTTGGATGAATAATTACTGAATATCTGTTTTTAACTGCTATTGGCATATAGTGACAAACAAGTAAAAGAAAGCATTATATCAAATACAGAATGAGAAGCAGAGGTTTCCATTTCTATTTATAGTAACATGAGCTTAAAAATAGACGTATTGTAAACTATCGGAAAATGTAGTTTTTTGTACTTTTTTCTCACATTTTGGATGAGCAATTGCAGACAATATGTTTTTACTGCTATTGGCATTCAGTGACCAACAAGTAAAAGAAAGCATCTATGAAATACAGAATGAGAAGCAGAGGTTTCCATTTCTATTCAAAGTAACACATGTTTGAAAATAGACATGCTGCAAATTCTAGAGAAAATGTAGAATTTCGCACTTTTTTCTAACATCAGGGATGGTCAAAGTGCAGACAAACGGCTTTTATTTGTTATTGACAGAATGTGACTAATGCTTAAGGGTGTTTTTACATTTATGCCTATAGTAACACATATTTATAAATAATCATCTTCTTATCAAGAACCACTGGGTTAATTTCAATTTACTTGCCGCAAAGTATCCTTGAATGAAGAAATAATTCCTTTTCTCTGTTCGATTTTTCAGTAAGCTAATAATTTATGTTTCTGACCAATATTAGTTTGTTTAAACGCTTATTACATGTATTAGCAAAGCCATTTCTGTGACTAAAGTTACTCCTCCTCCTTTCATAAAGACAAATTAATTTTTAGTAGTAGTAGCATTTTAAAACGTAACAAGGAATCTTTTTCAAACACTGATACCAATGTATGACAGCTTATTGCCATGAAAATCAAGTCTTAAAAAAGGAGATAAAACTCTAGGGTCATAACAAAATACTGGTGAATTTTTAATTTGTTACATTCGTGTCGGAAGCAAATTAAAAGTGAAGAGGGGGGTCCAAACACGAAATCCAATTTCATGGGAGGGGGAATTGAATTCATTTTCTTTCATACACTATCACTTAGCCTTATTCGACTACACTGCAACATGCCTGCTGAAGGGGGGGGGGGGGCTATATCTACTCCCCAATGTTTATTACCTATATGATGTCTATCTTTGAACCCCCGCCCCCCTGTCTGTGCAAAAGTGTCCGGTCCATATCTTCCTTAATGAGAAACATTAGAATCTACTCCTCCACACAAAGATTGTCCATGACCTAAGGGTGTGTCATTACATTTACCCAAGGTCATTTGGGGAGCTTCAAGGTCACTGGAAGAAAAATTTCATAATTCGTGTCCGGTCCAGATCTTTCTTATGGATAAACTTGGTTGGTTCCTATTTCACAAAGATTGCCATGTCGTAAGAGTGTGTCATGACCTTGACCCAAGGTCATTAGGGAAAATTCATGGTCACTGGAAGAAAAAATTCATAATTCGTGTTCGGTCCATATCTTTCTTATGGATAAACTTGGTAGGTCACAATCCACAAGATTGCCCATGTTCTAAGAGTGTGTCATGACCTTGGTTCAAGGACATTTGGGGAAGTTAAAGGTCACTGAAAAAAAATTAATTCGTGTCTGGTCCACATCTTTCTTATAAATAAACTTGGCATGTTCTTATTTCACACAAAGATTTTCCATGACCTAAGATTGTGTCTTAACCTTGACCGAAGGTCATTTGGGGAAGTTCAAGGTCACTGAATTTTTTTTTTTCATAATTCGTGTCCAGTCCATATCTTTCTTTTGGATAAACTTGATAGGTTCTTATTGCACACAAAGACAACCCATGCCATAAGAGTGTGTCATGACCTTGGGCCAAGGACATTTGTGGAAGTTCTAGGTCACTGGAAGAAAAAATTCATAATTCGTGTCTGGTCCCATCATCTCAAGCCATTGTCCGGAGTCCACATATAGCTCTCTCCTACCCGTGGCTGCTTGATCACAAAAAGTGTCGTAATCTTGAATATTTAGGCCTCTCTATTGTGACGTCATATTCAGTCAGTGGCAAGTTTTGTTTCCATCGCAATTGAAATCAACAACTGAAGTCAACAGTATACAAGAAATATTTCCTTTAATGCGATTGGATATTGAAAGGTCCTGATAAAGTTCATCTTCCGACTATGCTTTACTCGCATTGCTCAGTATTTTAATGAGCTACGAAAAATTCTTGCCTCGTTCAACCATGGCCAGAATGGGAGAGGATCGTACATTTTGGCTTGGTTTGCGACGATGATATGGTCCATATCTTTTTTATGGATAAACTTCAAATTGGTATGTTCTTATTTCACAAAAAGATTGCCCATGACCTAAGATTGTGTCATGACCTTGACCCAAGGTCATTTAGGGAAGTTCAAGGTCACTGAAAAATTTCATATTTCCTGTCCAGTCCATATCTTTCTTATGGATAACTTGGTATGTTCTCATTTCACACAAAGACTGCCCATGACTTAAGGGTGTGTCATGACCTTGAACCAAGGTAATTTTGGAAAGTTCAAC